TTCAAATCTGGGTTTCCAGTTCCTTATGGAGATGTGATTGTTAAGACAGGAAGGCAGAACGTGAGCCTAATTTATAGTTTTAAACTATTTCAACATATGGTGTGTCTGCCTCTACTCCCATTCTTACCTTAGGCCTGCAATGTCACGGGAGGATCCATGTGCTGCAGGGCAAGCCAGAAGGCCCAGGGTGTGGGCTCCCTGCGCACAGGCCACCGAGCCTTCAGCAGACCCTTCCCCTGTTCTGTCCAGCTGCTGCTTCCTCCTGAGGGGCCACTTGCTAAGACCAGGAATTCTGTGGATATTGGCCCATTGTCACGCTTCCTTTGCCATAAAATGTGCCCCCTGGTTGGCATTTTACATGCTATGGGGGATGCCAGGGTGATAGACAAAGCATTCTATAAGACCATGAAAGAGGATGCTGGCGAAGTGCTGAAGGTACAGCATCAAATTCATAGCCTGGGTATGTGTCTATCCCCAAGTGGACAAAGTGCTTCTCCCCACCCCTGTAAGGCCGGTTGCCTCGCCAGGAGCTCAGACATGCCCATCTCTCTCCCCGCCTGAAAATTATGTCACCAGAATATGCCCATCATCTAGCTCCACCTTGGAAATCCCCTTGCACTGGGGACTCAACCCCACCCTTGGAAATCTCCTCTGCACTCAGCACCTAGCACGCCCTTAGAAGCCCCGCCAAGCTGGGCGCAGTGGCTCACACCTGTAATCCCAGCATTTTGGGAGGCCGAAGAGGGTAGATCACAAGGTCAAGAGATCAAGACCATCCTGGTCAACATGGTGAAACCCCATCTCTACTAAAAATACAAAAAATTAGCTGGGCATGGTGGTGCATGCCTGTAATCCCAGCTACTCGAGAGGCTGAGGCAGGAGAATTGCCTGAACCCAGGAGGCAGAGGTTACAGTGAGCCGAGATCGCACCATTGCACTCCAGCCTGGGTAACAAGAGCAAAATTCCACCTAAAAAAAAAAGAAGAAGAAGAAGCCCCGCCAAAACCTGTCCAATAGCACATGGAAATCCCACCTACCTACCTATAGCAGCTTACCACATCCATGTTCTGTTTCTCCACAGCCAATCGGAATGCTTTCCCTCCCTATAAAACTCCACGCCTGAGAGGAGTCAGGCGTGACTTCTCTGGCCTCTTTCCGCGGGACCACAGAACCTTGCCCGGGAGCCAAATAAATTGGCGTCTAATAGTTCTCATGCAGGCCTCAGTTTCCTCATTTTAAACCTCATAAGACAATAACCCTTACACCCCCATAATGGGAAAGGGCCCAGTAAAATCCACTTGCCCCTGGTTAGCCAGCTGGTCCTCCAAGAAATTTCAGGAGTTTAGTATTGATCTCTACTGTTGGCGGGTTGGACACGCAGAGGTAGCAGTAGCCAGATCTACCTCGGGAAGAGAATAATGTGTCTCCACTGTGGCTGCTTTGTACCTGGACCCATTGAGTAAGCACTGGGGTGGCTAGGCAGGAAAAGAAAACCTCATGCCTGGAATACACACTGATATGGTTTGGGTTTGTGTCCTGTGCTCCATCTGCAGGAGTGGAGGGTCTATTTAAATGGTAGCATCCTGGCTTTCACAGTGTGCTCTGAGTTGATAATAGGCTGGCCTGAGCCTGTCATTCTGTTGTTTCAAGGTTTTTATGACAATTGACAAAAGACAACTAACTCCACTACTCGTATAATAATTTACTTTGCCCAGGCCAGGTGCAGTGGCTCATGTCTGTAATTCCAGCACTTTGAAGGCCAAAGCAAGAGGATCATTTGAGCCCAGGAGTTCGAGAACAGCCTGGGCAGCATAGTGAGAACTCATCTTTATGAAAAATGTAAAATATGAGGCCGGGCAAATTACTTGAGCCTGCAAGATCAAGGTTGCAATGAGCTGTGATCACACCACTGCACTCCTGTCTGAGCTACAAAGTGAGACACTGTCTAGAACATAAAAATAAATAAATAAATACGTCCTTTGCCCCTGTGTCTTTCCAGTGCTGGAGCTATCACAGGATCCAGTATTTCTCCTTCCACCTTTCTCATCCCATCTATCACAAGTTTTGCAATTGTGCTGCTGTAGCACAGGAGCCTCACTGTCCTGCCTACCATGAGCAATGAGGTCTAATATGGTTTGACTCTGTGTCCCCACCCAAATCTTATGCCAAATTCTGGTCCCCATGTTTTGGAGGAGGGGCCTGGTAGGAGGTGATTAAACCATGGGACAGACTTCTCCCTGCTGTTCTCATGATAGTGAATGAATTATCATGAGATCTGATGGTTTAAAAGTGCCTGACACTTTCCCCTTTCTTTCTTTCTCTCTCTCTCCTTCTCTGCCATGGTAAGACACCCTTGCTTTCCCCTTGTCTTCCTCCATAACTGTAAGTTTCCTGAGGCCTTTCAGCCATCTTTCCTGTTGAGCCTGTGGAACTGTGAGTCAATTAAACTTCTTTTCTTTGTAAATTACCCAATATCAGATAGTTCTTTATAGCAGAGTGAGAACGAACTAGTCCAAGTCCAGAATTACATCCTGAAGTCTCAGGATGAGAATGCTTTCTTAGAGCTACTTCTGCTGTTGGCTCTCCTACATTGGGCTCCAGTACAGACCCTGAGGTAAGGATTTGAGTGCATGCCCTTTATTTGGGAAGCAGTCATATAAAACTGAGGGAATAGAGAGGGGAGACAAGGAAGCAAGGAGAGCTCATGAAGAGTATGTGTTAATAGGTGAGGTCCAATCCCACTGGGGACCCTTTAAGGAAGAGTGTGGAACAAGCTTCAGAACTTCACTGAAGAGCAAGTTGGGGTATTTGTCCCAACTTCCCCGGTTGGTTGGGAGTGTTGCCTGTGGCCCTCTAGGCCTACCCTGCATGCAGACAGAACATGCTTCCCTGACAAGAGAACATTCTTGAGCAAAGAGATGCAGAAAACCAACAGTGTGTACAGGGACTGTACTCTGGAGCAGGCCAAGGTGACGGGTGAGGCACCACCAAGCAGCATCTGCAGGTTTTTACCTTTGCTGCCACAGCCTAAGCCAAATAACTGCAGATCCCTTACAGAGCCAGGTTCTGATTCCTCAGAAACTTTATTTTTTATTTTTATTTAGAGACAGGGTCTTGCTCCATCACCCTGGGGAGAGTGCGGTGATGTGATCATGGCTAACTGTAACCTTAATCTCCTGGGCTCAAGCAATCCTCCTGCCTCAGCCTCCCAAGTACCTGGGACTACAGACACCATCACATCAGGCTAATTATTATTATTATTATTTTTTAGAGATGGGGGTCTCACACTGTTTGCCAGGCTGGTCTTGAACTCCTGGCTTCTAGTGATCCTCCCACCTCAGCCTCCCAAAGCACTGGGATTACAGGTGTTAGCCACTCTGCCTGGCCAGAAACTTTCTTACCACCACTGATGGGAACAGCACCTAGAGTGAGGAAGGAAGACAGATTTCATGATTCCATATCCTGCTTAGCCCACAGCATGTTTTCCTTCCTGCAAGAAAGAAAACCCCAATTGAGAGCATGTAGGATCTAGGCAGCAGCTATGCCTTCCATTGGCAGTGTGCACTTACTCCCAGGCCTGCCTCACCTGCCTCAACTGCCTCCTCTGCCTGGCATGCACTCATGGGAGTCACTTCTGCCTGTTTGTGTTTAAGCTGACGAGAATTAGAAGAATAAAGCATTTCTGGCAAGAAGCACAGCTTGCCACTCAAAGTCAATTAGAGATGGGGAACACTGTCATCATGATGCCCCATACCTTCCTTCTGTTTTCTCTCAGATAGCAGAGGGTTATACATGAAGATGAAGAACCTCCTGTGAAGTCAGGTCTAGTAAAATTCACACTCAGACCTCCTGATGCCTAGCGAATGCTCTCACCTCTAGACCAAGTGACCTGACTTTCCTTCCACCTCTGAGTCCCTCCACCCTTGCTGGCAGCTGGAGGAAAGTGATGGGAGTCCTTCACCCTTCTCAGTTCTGTGTTCTCCAGGACACCTCCCAGCACCTCAGCACTGGCCTCTCTAATGAAGAGAGTTGTTATTCACCCCCAAATATGTTTGACTGTGACTTGAGATATGACCAGGTTCCTAGCTACAAATCAGCCCTGTACATAGGAATAAAATTACAGGGAAAAAACATCAATTTTGGCCGGGCATGGTGGCTCACGCCTGTAATCCCAGCACTTTGGGAGGTCGAGGCGGGTGGATCACAAGGCCAGGAGTTTGAGACTAGCCTGGCCAACATGATGAAACCCAGTCTTTACTAAAGATACAAAAAATTAGCCAGGTGTGTTGGTGGATGCCTGTAATCCCAGCTACTCAGGAGGCTGAGGCAGGAGAATTGCTTGAACCCGGGAGGCAGAGGTTGCAGTGAGCTGAGATCGCGCCATTGCACTCGAGCCTGGGTGACAGGGTGAGACTCCATCTCAAAAAAAAAAAGAAAGAAAACATCACTTTCATAAAGGTCAGACCAACCAACAAACACACCCTGGTAGAGTCTGGGTGTGACGGCTTATACCTGTAATCCCGGCACTTTGTGGGACTGAGTCAGGAGGATTGCTTGAGCCGGGAGTTTGAGACTGGCCTGGGCAACATAGGGAAACCCTGCCTCTATTTAAAAAAAAAAAAAAAAAAAAAAAAAAACCTTGAGAGAGAGTGAATAGACTAGAAGAACTCACAGATCAAACAAGAAGTCAAAGAAATTAGAGGAAGTTCTTTATCACCTAGGATCATTCCTAGTTGGTCTGGGGTTCTTTGACACAAAGGACGTAGTCTCTGAATCTGTCTGTCTCCCATTATGCCCATTCACAGTGGGCAAATGGTCAAAAACAACCTTTTTGCCTATTTTTTTTGTGAGATCTTGATCTGTTGCCCCAGCTGGAGTGCAGTGGCACAAATGGGGCTCACTGCTGCCTCAACCTCCCAGGCTCGAGAAATCCTCTTACTTCGGCCTCCGGAGTATCTGGGACTACAGACGTGTGTCACCACACCTAGGTTGGTCTCAAATTACTGGGCTCAAGTGATCTTTCCACCCCAGTCCTCTCCAATCATATTTTCATTCTTTCACTGATAGGTGCCAGCTGCAAGGTAGAATTATGTCAGGTACAGTATTTCAGAAAAGGAACAAGGTAACATGGAGAACCTTCCCCCATCCCACTTAAATGCAGGTAGGCTTCCTGGAGGAGGAGGACTTTGAGAGAACACCAGTGGTATTTTCTGATTCCCTAAGCATTTTGCAATCCAAAAACAAGATCTCACCCATGATCACCCTGTGATCCATGTGGACTGTGTTGGTATATGTCAGATGTGAAGGATAAAATCCGAAAGCTTCTGGTCCCTGGTCAAAATGGTCAGTTGCTTCTGGCTTCTGCCCTGCGTCATATGTCCTAGAACATCAGCAAAGATTTTCAGTGAAAGAGAAGCATCAGGATGACATGAAATATGTTAAAATGTTTTTTTGTTTTGTTTTGTTTTGTAAATCCTCACCCTTTGGGAAATGCATAGACCCAGAATGACCCAGCAGAGAATTTAAGGGTGAGAGAAGAAGGCATTGTATTATTCTGTTCTCACACTGCTGTGATGAAATACCTGAAACTGGGTAATTTATAAAGAAGAGAGGTTTAATTGACTCACAGTTCCAGATGGCTGGGGAAGCCTCAAAAAACTTACAAGCAGCAAGAAAGGGAATGAGTGCCACCAGGGGAAATGCCAGGCACTTATAAAACCATCAGATCTCATGAGACTCACTATCACGAAAACAGCATGGGGGAAACCACCCACACAATTTAATTACCTCCCACTGGCTCCCTCCCACACACAGAGGGATTATGGGGATTACAATGCAAGATGAGATTTGGGTGGGGACACAACCAAACCATATCAGGCATGTTGCTGGAAGGGCAGAGTCTACACGAACTCAAGTTGAAGGTACCACTAGACCCCAGGCATATGAAATCTGGGCTTGTTGAAAGACCCTTCTAAAGCATGGGCTGCAGCTGTGCTATGTATGAGGATACAACACACTCAAGTCATTGCAAGTGAATGTCCTACTTTATTCACTTTTTTATTTTATACAAATTGTATAAAATAACAATAAATATGTGCATATCTCTTCAGCTCCATTTTAGACAAAAACATATTTTACCTGCAGAAAATTGTCAGTTTTTTTTTTTTTTTTTTTGAGATGTAGTCTCATTCTGCTTCTAGGCTGGAGTGTAGTGGTGCAATCTTGGCTCACTGCAACCTCCAACTTCCTGGTTCAAGCGATTCTTCTGCCTTAGCCTCCCAAGTAGCTGGAATTACAGGCACTCACCACCACCATGCCCACCTAATTTTTTTGGTATTTTTAGTAGAGACGGGGTTTCATCATGTTGGCCAAGATGGTCTCAATCTCCTAACCTCATGATCTGCCCACCTCAGCCTCCCAAAGTGCTGGGATTACAGGCGTAAGCCACTGCACCCAGCTTGTCAGATATTTTCTTTCTTTCTTTCTTTCTTCTTTCTTTCTTTCTTTCTTTCTTTTCCTTTCCTTTCCTTTCCTTTCCTTTTGTTTTCTTTTCTTTTCTTTTCTTTCCTTTCCTTTTCTTTTTTTTAGATGGAGTTTCACCATGATGGCCAGGCTGGTCTTGAACTCCTGACCTCAGGTGATCCACCCACCTCGGCCCCCCAAAGTGCTAGGATTACAGGCATGAGCCACCGCGCCAGACCTTTTTTTAATTTTACTTTAAGACAGTGTTTCACTTTGTCACCCAGGCTGGAGTGTAGTGGTGCTATCATGGCTCACTGCAGCCTGGAACTCCTTCATTCAAGTGATCCTCCCACCTGACCCTCCCAAGTAGCTGGGACTACAGGTGCACACCACCACATCAGCTAATGCTCTTTTTTTTTTTTTTTTTTTTGGTCTCCCTATGTTGCCCAGGCTGATCTCAAATTTCTGGCCTCAAGAGATCCTCCCTCCTCCAAGAGACCCTCCAACCTCAGCCTCCAGAGTAGCTGGGACTACAAACGTGCACCACCACACCAGGCTACTTTTAAAATTTTTTAGAGAGATCGGGTCTCCCTATGTTGCCTGTGATCCCAAAGTGCTGAAAGTGTGAGCCACCATACCCAGCCAATAGCTCGTTATTTTAATGTAAATTTTTGGTAAACAATTTAAGAACTGCTTTTTTTTTTTTTTTTTTTTTCAAAACCTACTTGTGCCAGGCCCAGTGGCTCACGCCTATAGTCCCAGCACTTTGGGAGGCTGAGGTGGGTGGATCACAGGAGGTCAGGAGTTCAAGACCAGTCTGGCCAACATGGTGAAATCTCATCTCTACTAAAAATACAAAAATTACCCGGGCATAGTGGCATGTGCCTGTAATCCCAGCTACTTAGGAGGCTGAGGCAGGAGAATAGCTTGAACCTGGGAGGCAGATGTTGCAGTGAGCTGAGATGGCGCCACTGCACTCCAGCCTGGGAGACAAAAGCGAGACTCCACCTTCAAAGAAAAAAACCACCTACACCTACTTGTAACTGTTGCTAAATGTAGCATATATTCAGGGCAACTTGAATCTATGCTCTGGTTGCAATCCTCAGGCTTGGCCCAAATACACTCTCTACTTACCTTAATTTTACTTGAGCTTCTTCCTTTTAGGTCAACAAATGAAAACCTAAAATACACAACAATGGTCTTGAGAACAAGAAGGCAATAAGTAGCAAAGATACATAGAGTGTTGGGAAAATGGTGAACAGCTGCTGCCTGGCAAAACATTTGGGAAAATTACATCTTGTGCAACTCACATCTCAAGAAAGAGATGAGGTTATAAAATAACTGGCCAGTTTGCAAACAGTCAAGAGGAAATATGGACAGTGCAGAAAATGAAACAGAAATTGTTTAATTTGAAATTAAATTAAAATTAAAACTGTGTCCTTGTCTTTCCGCCTCAGGTCGCCGCAGCCAGAGGAGCCGCCGCCATGTCTGCGCATCTGCAATGGATGGTCTTGCGGAACTGCTCCAGTTTCCTGATCAAGAGGAACAAGCAGACCTATAGCACCGAGCCCGATAACTTGAAGGCCTGCAACTCCTTCCGCTACAACGGGCTGATTCACCGCAAGACTGTGGGCGTGGAGCCGGCAGCCGACAGCAAAGGTGTCGTGGTGGTCAGGAAGCGGAGATCGGGCCAGCGGAAGCGTACCGCCTCCTAGGTGCGGACACCCCACCATGAACAAGAATGCTCGCGCCAAGCTCAGCAGCATCAGACACAGGACACGCAAGAACAAGTACCGGCCCGACCTGCGCATGGCAGCTATCCGCAGGGCTAGCGCCATCCTGCGCAGCCAGAAGCCTGTGATGGTGAGAGGAGGGGAAGCGGAACCGCCCCACCAAGAGCTCCTGAGCCCCTTGCTCCCAAAGCAATGAAGAGTCAGCTGGCCTTCTCAAAAAAAAAAAAAAAAAAACTATTTCCTAGCATATGAAAGGCATGGCCATCAAACTATAGACTCAAAAAATACACAGATGCAGCTGGGCGAGGTCGCTCACGCCTTTAATCCCTGCACTTTGAGAGGCCGAGGCGGGAGGATTGAGACCATCCTGACCAACCTGGTGAAACCTCGTCTCTACTAAAAATACAAAAATTAGCTGGGCGTGGTGGTGGGTGCCTGTAATCCCAGCTACTTGGGAAGCTGAGGCAGGAGAATCGCTTGATCCCGGGAGGCAGAGGTTGTGGTGATTGTGCCGTTGCGCTCCAGGCTGGGCAACAAGAGCAAAACTCAGTCTCAAAAAAAAAGACACAGCCTGTATTAGTTAGATTTTTGCTGTGTAACAAGCTACCCCAAAACCTAAAATAGCACAAAATATGCATTTTCCTCACAATTCTATACAGGTTGACTGGGTAACTCTTCAAGGCTAGACCAGCTTGGCTTGGGGAGAGGCTCACCCACTATCTGATTGTTGGCAGACTGAGTAGCCTAAGGAAGCCTCAGCTGGAACCGCTGATCTCCGCTTTATCTGGTCTGTCATCTTCCAGCAGCCTTCTTCATAAGTGGCAGAAGGGTTCTAAAACAAGCAAGGGAGGGCAAAGTTTCTTCAAGTCTCTCCTTTCATTGTTTTGCTCACTGTTTTGCTCATTGTTTTTCTCAATCTGGTAACCCCAGATTAAAAGCGTGAGAAATCGAATCCACCGTTGATTATGAGGATTAGCAGAATCACAATGCAAAGGGGTGTGCATACAGCAACTGGAGGAATTTGTGACCATTTTTGCAATCTACCACATGGCCTTAGGGCAAAGACTGAATCAAGGGGGTGATTATCACACCCCATTTGAAGATCTATGTAAAGATTAAGGTGGTGCCATTCAGCTAGACAAAAGGGTTCCTAAAATGATTAACTGTGTGGTCCCACAGAAGCCTGATATGCCTATTATTTATAATCTGATATTAAGTCTAGAGAGGAAAGCATGAAAGAATTGCGGAAATGGACTTTGGCCCATGAAGTTGTCTGAAATCAAATACATAGAAAATAACTCAGTTCAAGAGAGCTATTTTGGCAAAGTGCCCCCAACCTGGCCTGATGGAGACAAGATGTAAAATAATCTCGGTGTTCCCAACATTCTGCAGACAGAGGCTAAAAAATCTTCTCAGCCAACACGGAGGGCACATGCTCCAGTGCCCTCTTCCACAGTGCCCTCTTCCACAGTGCCCTCTTCCAGAGGATGAAAAAGGAAGGACTTTGTGAATATTGAGGAAGGTGTCAAGAGGGACACTCAGGGGTAAATACTCCACTGGGAACTTCGTGTTGCTAAATGCTGTGTTCACGTACCTGTAATAGGTTTATTTCCCAATGCACACAGCAAGTCAACAGGCCAAGACACCAGGCTGCAGCAGAGAAAGAGGTTTAATCATAGGGCTGCTGAATGAGGAGATAGGAGGAAACCACATCTGTCTTCTCAAGGAATTTTGGACTAGAGTTTTAAGGGTTTTGGAGCAGGCTGAAGTATGATCATTGGTTGGTGAAAGAGTGAAGGAGGAAGTCATGGGACAGGGAGATAAACAGTTTTCTCATGCTGATTCCCTTCCTCTGGGGAGGTCTTCAAACTGATTGGCATCAGCTATTTCACTGGAATTCAGGATCTGCTTAAGCAATCTTTAAACAACAGCCTTATGATTCCAACACCATAGATCTTATCTTAAACAGAACCCATATATATATATATATATATATATATATATATATATATATATTTTTTTTTTTTTTTTTTTGAGACAGATTCTCGCTTTGTTGCCCAGGCTGGAGTGCAGTGGCATGATATCAGCTCACTGCAACCTCCCCCTCCCAGGTTCAAGCGATTCTCTTGCCTCAGCCTTCCAAGCAGTTGGGACTAAGGTGCCTGCCACCACAACCCGGCTAATTTGTTTTGTATTTTTAGTAGAGACAGTTTCACCATATTGGCCAGGCTGGTCTTGAACTCCTGACCTTGTGATCCACCTGGCTCTGCCTCACAAAGTGCTGGGATTACAGGTGTGAGCCACTGCACTCGGCCAACCTTTTTTTTTTTTTTTTTTTTGAGATGGAGTTTTGTTCTTGTCACCCAGGCTGGAGTGCAATGGCGTGATCTTGGCTCACTGCAACCTTTGCCTCCTGGGTTCAAGCTATTCTCCTGCCTCAGCCTCCCAAGTAGCTGGGATTACAGGCGTCCGCCACCACGCCCAGCTAATTTTGTATTTTTAGCAGAGTCAGGATTTCACCATGTTGGCCAGGCTGGTCTTGAACTCCTACCATCAGGTGATCCACCCGCTTTGGCCTCCCAAAGTGCTGGGATTACAGGCATGAGTCACTGCACCCAGCCTGATTTTTTTTTTTTTTTTTTTTTTGAGACATGGCTTCACTCTGTTGCCACACTACCAAGCTGGAGTGCAGTGGCACAATGGGGCTCACTGCAGCCTCAGCCTCCCGGACTCAAGCGACCCTCTTACCTCAGCCCCCCAAGTAACTGGGACTACTGACACACACAAACATGCCCACCTAAATTTTGTATTCTTTGTAGAGATTGGGTTTTGCTATGTATCCCAGGCTGGGATCTCAAATGATCTGCCCACCTCGGCTTCCTAAAGTGCTGGGATTACAGGTGTGAGCCATGTGCCTGGCCCAAAGTCTTATGATTCTAACATCAGAAATCCTGTCTATAGGAACCATGAGGATACAAATAGCCAGTATCTAGTGCTGCTACATGACTTTCCCTTACAAGGAAGGAGACGAAAGTACAGCCTGTTTCATGCTTAATGATAACTGTATTTCTGAGTGCAGTGGCGCAGTCACAGTTCACTGCAGCTCCCAATTCCTGGACTCCACCTCCACCCCCACCTCCACCTCCCAAGTAGCTAGGACTATAGGTGTGTGCCAGCACACATGGATAATTTTAAAAGCTTTCTGTAGAGATGAGGTCTCACTATGTTGCTCCCGCTGCTCTTGAACACCAGGCCCCAAGTGATCCTCCTGCCACGGCATCCACAAGCACTGAGATTACAAGCATGAGCCACTAAAAGGAAAAGTTTTTATTATAGAAATGTTCCTGCTAATACAAAAAAGAGAATAAATATTCCTGCTAATGAAGAAGAAACCAAACATACTGATGCACACCTGTGGTCTGAACTACTCAGGAGGCTGAGGTGGAAGGTTCCCCTGCACCCAGCCTTGACAACATAGCAAGACCTCATCTCTAGAAACAAATAAATACATCCATAAATAAAGAAGGAATGGTAGAATTAGAATATCACAATATTGCATTCCCTAATGAAATAATGAATCTAGGCAGTGATTAAAAGCAGCTGCTGCCGGGCGCAGTGGCTCACGCCTGTAATCCCAGCACTTTGGGAGGCCGAGGCGGGTGGATCACGAGGCCAAGAGATCGAGACCATCCTGGTCAACATGGTGAAATCCCATCTCTACTAAAAATATAAAAAATTAGCTGGGCACGGTGGCACATGCCTGTAATCCCAGTTACTCAGGAGGCTGAGGGAGGAGAATTGCCTGAACTCAGGAGGCGGAGGTTGCGGTGAGCCGAGATCGTGCCATTGCACTCCAGCCCGGGTAACAAGAGCAAAACTCCGTATAAAAAAAAAAAAAAAAAAAAAAGCAGCTGCTGATAAGTGGATAGGGTGGCTAATGCCTGTAATCCCAGCAATTTGGGAGGCTGAGACAGGAGGATTGCTTAAGGCCAGGAGTTCAAGACTAGCTTGGCCAACATAATGAGACCCTAATTTCTACAAAATAATTTTTTGGGTTTTTGTTTGTTTGCTTTTTGAGAAGGAGTCACACTCTGTCCTCCAGGCTGGAGTGCAGTAACACTATCTCAGCTTACTGCAGCCTCCACTTCCCAGGTTCAAGTGACTCTCCTGCCTCAGCCTCCCAAGTAGCTAGGACTACAGGCGCCTGCCACCATACTGGCTAATTTTTGTATTTTTAGTAGAGATGGGGGTTTCACCACATTGGCCAGGCTGGTCTCGAACTCCTGACCTTGTGATCCACCCACCTCAGCCTCCCAAAGTGCTGAGATTAGAGGCATGAGTCACCATACCCAGCCAATTTTTTAACGTTTTAATTAAAATAAATAAATAGGCCAGGCATTGTGGTTCACACCCATAATCCCAGAATTGGGTGGCTGAGGGGGAAGGATCACTTGAGATCAGGAATTTGAGACCAGTCTGGCCAACGTATTGAAACCCTATCTCTACTAAAAATACAAAAATTAGCCAAGCATGGTGGCAGGCCCTTCTAATCCCAGCTACTCAGGACGCTGAGGCAGGAGAATCACTTGAACCTGGGAGGCAGAGGTTGCATTGAGCCGAGATGGTACCACTGCACTCCAGCCTGGGTGACAGAGCGAGACTCTGTCTCAATAAATAAATAAATAGGCTGGGCTCGGTGGCTCACACCTATAATCCCAGCACTTTGGGAGGCTGAGGCGGCTGGATCACAAGGTTAAGAGATCGAGACCATCCTGGTCAACAAGGTGAAACCCCGTGTCTACTAAAAATACAAAAAAATTAGCTGGGCATGGTGGTGCGCGCCTATAGGCCCAGCTACTCAGGAGGCTGAGGTTGCAGTGAGCCGAGATTGCGCCATTGCCCTCCAGCCTGGGTAACGAGAGCAAAACTCTGTCTCAAAAAAAAAAAAAAAAAAAAAGGCTCTTTCAATAAAGTAAAATGTCTAAGTGACTGAAGCAATGGCAAAATTCTCCCCATCATGAGCCATCAGAGAAATGCAAATCAAAGCAAAATGAGGTACCACTCCACACTCACTAGGATGGCTACAATCGAAAAGACAGATATAAATAAGTGTTGGTGAGAATGTGCAGAAACTGGAAGCCTCATGCATTGCTAGTAGGAAAGTAAAATAGTACAGCTAATTTGCAAAACTTTGTCAGTTCTTCAGAAAGTTCTTCAGAGCTGCCATATAACCCAGGAATTCCATTCACGGGTATATACCCACAGAAACAAAAATATATGCCCAAGCAAAAACTAGTACAGGAATGTTTATAGAAGCATCATTTATAGTAGCCTATAGTGGAAACAGCCCAAAAATGTAAATGATTACAGGTGTGTGGTGGCACACACCTGCAACCGCAGCTACTCAGGAGGCTGAGGCAGGAGAATTGCTTGAACCCAGAATACATAGGTTGTGGTGAGCCACTGTACTCCAGCCTGGGTGACAGAATGAGACTCTGTCTCAAAAATATATATATTTTAAAAACTAGGCCGGGCGCAGTGGCTCACACCTATAATCCCAGCACTTTGGGAGGCCAAGGCAGGTGGATCATGCGGTCAAGAGATCGAGACCATCCTGGTCAACATGGTGAAACCCCGTCTCTACTAAAAATACAAAAATTAGCTGGGCATGGTGGCGTGCGCCTATAGTCCCAGCTACTCGGGAGGCTGAGGCAGGAGAATTGCCTGAACCCAGGAGGTGGAGGTTGCGGTGAGCCAAGATCGCACCATTGCACTCCAGCCTGGGTAACAAGAGTGAAACTCCGTCTCAAAAAAAAAAAAGCTAGCTGGGCATGGTGGTGCATGCCTCCTATTCAGGAGGCCGAGGTGAGAGAATTGATTGAGCCCAGAAGGTCATGAAACACAAAATGTG